ATGAACTTGGAGGACATTATGCTGAGTGAAATAAGTCAATCACAGAAGGACAAATATTGTATTAGTCCATTATTGTAAAAAGTCAAGGAATGGTTTATATATGGAAGGAAACTTTCTTTGTTGATTAAGGGTGGGAGGAGAAGGGAGGAAACACTGCAAAAATAAAACATAATAATAATAAAAAAAAAAGATTTACAGTCTCTAGGAGTTAGGAGGAAAGGGACAGTCATTGCTGAACGGTGCTGAACTTCTGTTGATGGTGGTGGAAAATCTGGAAATTTGGGAAAACGGTAATGGTGATAGCTGCATACTGTGATGAACATAACCAACGTCCAGGTTGGAAAACTGGGGAATTGCCAAATGCTTTGTTAGGAAATTTTTTAAAACATATACACAAAAGAAAAAAGGAGGCATCTGACTCCGTTCTCCCTGCTGCACCCACCCTGCTCAAGCCTTCTCCACACAATCTTAGTAGCTGTCTTGTCAGTGAGGCACCTGGATGGTTGACGGGAGTGCTTGTGGGCATGTGTTCAGACAGCTGCTCCCCTCCTCACTCAGCAGCACGTCCACCGCCCTCTGCTGGAGGGCCCTGGTATTGCAGCTGAGAAGTTGCATTCCCTGAGCACAAACCAAACTAAACCAAACTCACTGCTGTCAAGTTGATCCCAACTCATAGCGATCCCTCCTTGGGTTTCCAAGGCAGTGTCTCTACGCAAGTAGATTGCCCAACCAACCTTCCGAGGCGTGGCTGGTGGGTTTGAACCGCCAGCCTCCTGGTTAGCAGTCAAGTGCCTTCAGCACTGTGCCACCAGAGCTCCCTGAGCACAAGGGACTGGATTTTGCTGTCGAGTGGATTTCCACTCATAGTGACCCTGTATGACGGAGTAAAGGTGCCCTAGAGGTTTTCCAAGGCTGTCATCTATCTTTATGGAAGCAGATTGGCACAGCTCTCTCCTGCAGGGCGGCTGGTGGGTTCAAACCACCGACCTTTGGGTTAGCAGCTGAGCACTCAAGCACTGTTCCAGCAGGGTCCTTTTACTGCACTCTTTCCCCTCCTTCGAACCCCTGTCCCAACCACGCAGGAGGAAAACCAGATCCTCACAGCAGCCCAACAGGTAAGAGTACTGCTCTCTCCACTACAAAGACGAGTGGATGGTGTAGAATTTATGTAACTTATAAACAAAAACAAGCCAAACCTGGGGAAGTGGGGACTCTAGGTTCTTCTGTTAACCACATTGCGCCGTGAGGAACCAAATCAGTTCCTGGGCTGCCCCGGTCCAACAGGATCCACCCCTTGAGTTCAGAGCACTGATGGGATCCTGAGACGACTGGGACAGATAAGGGGCTACCCCGCAATCCTCTGGGCCTTCTGACCAGATGGGCTTCTCCCAAGAGATGCCGCCCAGGAGTTCCTGGGAATCTGGTGTTGGAGATCTTGTTTGAAAATCAAAGCTGAGCTTGTGCAAGATCAGCTCTGACCAGTTCCTTTAGGCAAGATGGTGTTGGCAGGGAGTCCAGGGAAACGGAGGGTGGAAGAATTCATTCTGACCTGGAAGAGGGTGCCCCTAGGGAAGGTGCGATCTGCCTGTGGTTATCAGAGCTCAGTACTCTGCTGTCTGTTAGGATCCTGCTTACCTTCCCCTCCGTTCAACAAATGAATGAACCAACGCACAGGTCCAGTGCTGAACTCATGGTCAGTCTGAGGGACCACAAAGGACTCACCCTCCAGATGCTTACGGTCTAGTGGAGGACTGATGAGAACACTGCTGACGGAAGTCGTGTAGCCATCAGCCACTCTTCTAGACTGTAAGCTGGCGAGCTCTTGGAGCTAGCTAACTGGGAGTGTAGACTATTAGCTCTAACACTAAATGGCTCCAACTGGCCCTGCAGTGGGTGGTTCACTGCCTTTGCTGATTCCTCCCCTCTTGTTGTCACCTCCCAGATGCCACGCTCCCCAGCTCCCCAGCTTCCATCTCCAACCTCTGCGTCCAGTCTGCTGTTAGCTGGGAAGAACTAAACGGTGCCAGTCAAAGAAACTTGACCGAGGTCCAGGTCTTCACTTAGATGTCACCCTCTCATTGAGTCTCTTCTGGCCACACTATTTAAAAGGACACTTTCTAAGTCCTTTGCTGCTCTAATTGTCTCCAAAGCAACTATCATTTAACATAGTACACATTTTGCTTTTTTATTAAGTTATTGTCTTGCCAGATGGAATACAAGCCCCGTGAAGGGAGGGATGTTTGTCTCTTCTCTTCACTGCTGTGTCCCCAGCACCTCTCCCTGACACAAAGTCGGTGTCTTAGTTATCTTGTGCTCCTGTAACAGAAATACCACAAATGGGTGGGTGGCTTTAACAAACAGAACGTTAACTGTCTCCACTTTAGGAGGCTGTATGGGAGCTCTGGTAGCATAGTGGCTAAGGCACTTGCCTGCTAACCAGACGGCTGGTGGTTCAAACCCACCAGCCACTCCTCGGAAGGAAGGTTGGGCAATCCTACTTCCGTAGTGATACTGCCTCGGAAACCCAAGGAGGGGTCGCTATGAGTCGGGGCCGACTCGACGGCACATAACAACATGTCCGAATCAGGATGCTGGCTCCAGGGGAACGCTTCTCTCTCCGCTGGCTCTGGAGGAAGGTCCTTGTCTCTTTGAGCTTCAGATCTCCATGTGCTTGGCACCCCTCTCCCCCCACGTCTGCTTCTTAGCATGCTCGCTTAATCTCTTCTCTGCAGGCAGTCCCCCGGTTACTA